CCCAGACACAGCCAGCGGAACGATTTGCTGCATCCCTCTGTGGGACTTAATCCAGACAAACTGGAATTTAACACTGATAATCATGATCAGGGTTTCTGATGGTCTGTCTGGAGCTGGAAGGTCTGTGTCTTGGGGGTGTCTATGTACAGAAAATCTGGCTCTTCTACTATAGGAATGTCCTGAGGTAGGACAGCTGTACCCTCCCCAACAACAACAACAACAAAAATCCAAGATAGGGAAGGGGAGGGATGGGGAAAGAGAGGGAGGGGGAGGACTGGAGTGCCTGGGTCCACAAGTTCATGCTTAAGGGAAGGGGAATAGACTCCTCAAGGGGAGGAACATTTAAAAATTCAAAACATACTTTAAAACCACCACAGGGGAAATGAGAATGCCCCTGCTGCCACTCATTTGCTATCCATGGTCAATGGTAACCTTAGAAGGCAAAAAGGCACGGCCTTGAAGCTGGGGGAGCTACAAACCAGGATGTGTTCTTGGGGGGGGGCAGGAATTGCACAGACTGAATCAGTTGTGAAGGAATGGTAGACCTGGGGCAGCAGGTCCCTGGTCAGTGGGGCTTAGAGAAGCAGAGGTGGGGGATGGGTTCAAGGTAGAGGTGACAGGGGGGTGCATTGGTATTGTTTTGTTCAAGGCAGTTTGCTGAGTCCTGGCTAGCTGGAGCTACCCTGATTGCCTTAGGCTGGAGTTTGTTCTAGCTAGTCCATTAGCATAAATTGAGACTTTGCCCATCAGACTTGAATGGATGGCAGCTGGAGCCCAGCCGGGTATGGGCTAGGCCAACTCCACAGGAGAGAGCCAGATGTTCTTGGTTGCTGATGCCATGGTAACCTGCTCCCTCCTCCCACCAACAACCCTGCTGCATTGGTCTGTGTTAGGTACTCAGGACATCTCAGTTCTCAGAGAGCTGTCTGGCCTTGGCATTTAGGCCTGCTTAAGACAGGCTCCTAGCTTCACCCGGAGCTGGGCTGCCCAGGGCCTGGGAGATGCATTGTGCCTATGATGATGACATCTCTGAAGCTAAAATTGATCTGATGTGAATGACTATGGGGACCATGGGATGGGATATTGGATGTTGGGCCTTATTAGAAAGTCCATCCTCACTCTGCTCCAACCTGTGACCTTGAGCCAATGGCCATGAGGGGTATCAGGCTGGTCAGGCCTTCAGACAGTAGTGTGGCCAGCTAAGATACTGAGTTGAAGCAGGACTCCCTATCCTCTCCAGGGCAACCTGACTGTTTTCATCTTATTTTGGGCCAAATGAGGCTCCTGGCCAGTGCTTAGCCATTTCATGTGGTATTTTGGAAAAGATGCCTAGTGGCCCTGCTTTCTGGGAGCCTGCAGGCCTGACTTATTCCTGTAAAGGCAGTGTCACTTGGTTTTCAAATCCTGAAACCCCTTCTCCTCAAGACAGACAACTGAGAAGTGAATGGCCAGGGCCCCAGAGAGGATGCTGATCTTGCCTGGCCAATGTTTTCACTCATAAAAGACTTTTCCCCCTTTACATTCATGTTCTGTCCGTCTGTCTGGTTCTCTCTACAAAAAACTGGAGCAACTTTTTCTCTGATAATTTTTTTCTTATCTAGGTGGCCATTTCAATATAATTGAATCTCAGACTGATGATAATTAAAAAAGCACACAACTAGTCATTTTAAAATTCAGTCATTTTGCCCCCAGACCCAGAGAGAGAGAGAAAAAGGGAGAGGGAGAGGGAAAAGGAGAGGGAGAGAGAGAGAGAGAGGAGAGAGAGAGAGAGAAAGAGAGAGAGAGAGAGGAATAGGGAAGCAAGCCTTAGAAGTTTCAATGAGGGACTGGAGGCAGCCGAGGGCCCTGCTTGAATCTAATTGCTAAAAATGCTGTCATTTGTTTCTGCTAATGGTTTTCTGCCGAGGGAGAGAGGGCTAGGGAATGAGGCAGGTCCTTGGCGATTGGAGGGGAGGGGGAGCATTTGTTTCAGCTGCATGGGGGGTATAATTCTGCTTTGGGACAGGGTCTATTTTTCCTTACTATCTATCAGCATAAAGTACTTTCACTGAACACTTTGAATTAAGGTTCCATTTAGAGATACTTTATTCATATTTAATTACAGGCTGCAGCACCGATCTTTAATTACCTTTTTTTATAAGCCAGCTAGGAGCATCCACTAGCGATCAATTATTGTGTATGTGTATGTGTGTATATGTTTTCCAGAGCATGGGAGGGTGGAGGAGTTACTTCTAGTTAGAGAAGGAAAGACGGCTGCACAGATGCTGGGCCTTGGGGTGGGACAGGGCTTCACCCGACAGATGTCTTGTACCCCTTCTATGACTCTTGCTTCTGCTGGTGAAACTGAGAGTTTGGTTAACCCTTTCCTGCTAGGGCTGGTTCTCAGATGCTGAGTCAGCAGCTGGGGTTAGTTGGTATCTTGGGGGCCTCCTCCATCCCCTTGATGGGGCAGGAGGTTGTGGGGGTGGGCCCTTCCTGTCCCTGGGTGAAATGGCAAGCCTGGCTTCCTCTCGTTCTGGAGAATAGGATCTGCTTGCCTCAGCCCTTTCCTTCCTCCACTTCCCTGTGGGGAGCTCTTGGCAGCTGTTCTTGTCACACAGCCCTAGAGATGCCATGTCACTCTTTGGTTGCAATGACTCTGCAGTGTCCCCACAATGACATAGGTTTGAAACTGGTTGTCCTTCTCAGAGACAGAGGTGATGTTCCCTGGGCCAGGCAAAGGCTAGGGTTAGGGAATAAGGCCACAGGAAGATTGGGCAAGGTCCACAGCTCTGTCTCCTTGGTGGTCTTCCAGGCGTTACCAGTCTCTACAGGGATCTCTCTGTGTGGATCTCATTGTGCAGTAGCAGAAGCTCTGCTTTATATTGTTCCTGAGTCCTTGTTCCAATAAGGGGGAAAAGACGGGATAAAACCCACAATTTCCATGTCTCTAAGGGCACCTGGGCCCGTGTCTTCCCTCAGTCACCTCATGTTAGAGCCCCTCCAGTTGTCTCTGTCACAAAACTTTGCTCAAATTGACTCAGGCAACCAACCAAACAAACAGAAAAGGAATTACAGGCTAAGTATTGAGGGATGGCTAGATCAAGGGACTAAAACCAACCAGGATTTATTTCCCATTTCTTGACTTGGCTTCCTTTGTTTCTATTCTGTGACTCTTGGCTTTCCTAGAGCTGTATTTTCGTTCTCAGGTTCGACAGAAAGTACATCTTCTCCCACTGTTTAAACAGATGCAGAAAAATTGAGTCTGACTGGGTTAGTTTGAGTCTGTTTGGACTAGTTGGGCCACATGTCCACTTCTGAGCCAGTTGGGGTGGCTGTAGCTGCTGACGGTTCTGACAGGCCAGGCTGAGATCTCACCTGGAATAACAGGTGGGCTCTGCCCAGGTAAAGTTCAGACATAGTATATACTTTCCCCATTCTGGACAGCAGCCCAGTAGAGTGTTTGTGTTAGTAGCAATGTGGGAACAGAAAGGCCGAGCAGTTTCAAGGGGAAAACTAGGTTGATTCTGCTCTCCAGTGGAGAGAACACTGTGTTTAGCCACTCAGCAGGTCCTTGTTTGACTCTTACTAGTTCCATTCCTGTACAAATTTCAGAGGTACAGCAATGGCCAGAGTAACAACCCCCCCCCCCCAGTTCACTCAGCACATGGGGAAAGTGGTTGTGGTGTTCCCCCATTCCACGACCAAGTCCATGATGAAAGGTCTTGTGCTTAGAGTCCCAGAGTAAGTGAGTAGATAATCCAAGAGACTCTTGCCCTCAGGAAGCCTAGAACTCTTAGAGCAGGGAAAGGCAAGGGAGACAAGGAGATTAAACACCAGGATGGGGAGAAACCACCCATTGCAGGGCTGTCTCTCATGACTGACATCTGAGACCCTTCCCCGATGCCTGGGTCTTGTCCTCTGCAGAATGTTGGTAAATGCAATGAAACTTAGTGGAAGGTATAGGAATTGTGGCAGGGAGGTGGGAACCATTTGTGATGTGAGATCAACAAGGAAATCCTGACAAACAGAATTGGGATGGCAGCTGTGGGGGTGTTTGGCATCTCGGGTTTGAGGAGAGAAAGGGACAGGACAAGGTTTTTGGAAGTGGGGACAAAAGCAGGAATAGGGTGGGAAAGAAGACTGAATTGACCTTGAGTAGGAACCTGAGGGGAAGCAGAGGTGCGTGATGAATTTCAGTAAATATGTTGGTGTGTATTTGTCTGCAAAAATGGCCAAGCTTTCTGGAACTTGGAGACTGTGCAGAGCCTTAAAGAAATGGAGAGGATTTGAACCAAAGCCTTTGACAATCTTTAGAAAAGTTTCTGGGAGGGGGTCTTTCTCCATCTAGTAGGATATTTGTATCTGGACCATGGTGACCAACTAGTCAGACAGAACCAATATGGCAGTTCTGAGAGAGAAGGGAGGAAGGAAGAAAGCAGGAGAAGATGCAAGAGTAAGGGTACACTTTCTACTTCATGCTGAGAGAAACTGAGTCACAGAAGTGGCAAGGGGACTCACTTTAGGTCTCTGGCAGCCCTGGGATACTGCTAGGGTGTGGCCAGGCCAGCAGTGGCTCAGAAACCCATGTTGAGTCTGCTGCTCGGGCAAAGGTAATTGGTGGCTATGATTCGAAGCCTCCAGTGCTCTAGGTTTCTGGGATCGGAACATCTTCCATCTGACCTGTTGAGCTGCTCTGGCCTCAGTTCTGCTCACTTTGTATGGTCGATGTGTGAAGGTTCAGCAGACTCAGCGGTGGATCGTTCAATGGGCAGATGATATGTGGTCTTTCTTTGGCTGTTGATGGGGGTTACAGGGCTCCTGGCCAAACATGTCCTTCATGTTTATCTTCTGTCCTGTCTCATCCATGTGTCTGGTATGAATCCTGACCATAGATAGCAAAAGGGCCAGTTGGGACCCACACAACCGATAAGGCAGTAAGTCTGCCGTGGGACACTGAACAGCTCACTGAATTAGGCCTCCTTCCTCTCAGTTACCCTGTTCTCTTTCGTTCCTGACAGATCCATGATTTGTTCCTGAGCTTTGATGACACCCCTCTGGGGGCAGCCTCCCTGGCCCAGGTCCACAAGGCGGTGCTGCATGATGGTCGGACTGTGGCAGTGAAGGTCCAGCACCCGAAGGTTCAAGCTCAAAGCTCCAAGGACATTCTCCTGATGGAGGTGGGTGCTGCCCCCTGTTCCTCAGTCTCAGGTTTTCTCAGGAGCCAGACAGCCTCTCCGATACTTACTCAGGCTGGTGGGTGGACTTTGGCCTCTGAGGAGCAGAGTGGGAGAGGAGAGCTGAGACACGACCAAGGCTGTGTCACAAGAACTTGGATTCACACCCTGTTAAGGTTGGTCAGTTCTTGATTTGCCCTGGAAATGCTCTTGGGATATGTCTCAGAACACGACGAACAGTTGATGGGGCCAAGCTGATTCAGGTCCTGATGGGGACCTCTACTGCGAGAGATGCAGTAGGAATGAAAGGAACCAAAGGTGGTCTCCTCAGGGGTAGACAAAGTTGCATCATAATGGATTAGATTATAGCATAAGAAAGTATGTGATAAGCCAAGGCACAGAAAAATGGTGTGCAGATCATACAGAAATATTTAGGCAGATGGCTCATTTTGCTTATCTGACATTTGCCTTGAATTAAGAAACTTACATTCTTGCAAATGGCCCCAGGGAAGTCCCAAGAGGGCCTGTGTGTTCCTGGAGTCTTCTTTATATGTGTCCACCAAAGGAAGGAATGTGTGTGCTCCTATTATTGAAGAAGCCACTACTCCCACATGGAGGTCAACAATCTGTTGATCCCACATGCTCCTCTCCATCCTAGTCTCTCTTCCTTTCCTTCTTAATCTAGACTCAACCAAGGTCTCTTCTCACAGTGCATTACACAGGTGCTGAGGGCATGTGAATAAGTGAGCTGTGTCCCTACTCTCACGTCTAGCACAGGAGACTGTAAACAAACAGCCATCAAGTAGGAACCTGAACTCTTAGCCGCAGGAAGGCACTGTGCCAGGATGTGTGGAGTTGACAAGAGGGCTTCCCTGCAGGGTTAGTGTTTTTGTAGACTTGGAGGACTCATGAGACTGCTGGCCCGTGCATGGAAAGCCCACCGCGAGGGAGGACCCTGAGGCTTATAGAGGCAGGTGGATCTCTGTGAGTTCGAGGCCAGCCTGGTCTCCAGAGCAAGTGCCAGGATAGGCACCAAAAAAAAAAAAAAAAAAAAAAAAAAAAAAAAAAAAAAAAAAAAAAGAAAAGAGAGGATCCTTATCCCAGGCTCAGGTGTGGAACAGTAGCCATAGTCAACAATGACATATTTGTGGGACTGACAACATCTGATTTTCTCAGTATTCAGTGGGGGGAACCATTTAAGAATTGTAATCAGACGACTGTCATGATCAGATATGCGCTGGAAATAAAAGTCTGCTGGCAGTCAGGAGAATGCATTGGGAAAGCATAGCCTGTAGTCAGGAGACAAATTGAAGGGCTACTGTGTTGGTGTGAGAGAGGTGAAGTTTGAATCGAGACATTATTGTGGGGGTAGAGGAGGCGTCATCTGGACTCTGTGGCCAGCTCTTCAAGGGGAGGTGCCAAGGAGGAGGTAGAAATGTATCTTAGGTTTCTGGTGTAAGTGACTACCATGAGGTAGCTTTGCCTGTGTATATCAGCTAGAGTCTAGTTGAGGAAAAAGAAATTGCTCTAGGCTAGGAAAGTAATAAGTATATGAGGTTCCAGAAGCATATTGGAATGGGAGCATTGTTGCAACCATTTTGGAGAATTGTTTCCCAGAATTACTTAGCATTGCCAAGTGGAAGGCCAAACCAGGAAGGCACTGAAAAGGGTATTTGGGGCTGGGGGATCTTAGAATTGTTAGGAAGTGCAGCTACGAAGGTGTGAGGGGTGAAGGAGAATTGAGATCCAAGGAAGTGGGGGCACAGTATAAAATCCTCCCATCCAGTGTTCAACCATGGGAGGGTGGGGAGAGCTAGTCCAAAGCATAGACTTCAGTGCTCCTGAGACATGAGTAGGCTTTCCTTAGCTGATGGGGAAGGGATACGGGAGACTCAGCAGAGAGACATAATTAAGAAGTCAAGTCCAGAAGGACATCCAAGAGACTGGGCACCAAGAACACAAAAAGACATTGGCCTTAATGGGTCTTTGCTTTGGACGTAGAAGGCAGTAAGGCTGAGCATAGATGAGTGTGTGGGGCCCTGGAGAGGGGAGGGAAGGTGGGCAGCAGAGTGTGTACCAGCCTGATAGCCTCTATTTTTTCTCTGCTGTAGGAGGCCAGACCATCTGCTAAGAATGAGAGGGTAGGAGGTGGCATTGGAGGCTCGAGGGGGTGAAAGTTTGGAATAGCTGCTGCGTGTCTGTCATGGGGAGCAGATGGGCTGATGGACCAGGACTACAGAGTGGCTTCGGTCCCGTACTGTAGACCTAAGGTTTTAGAGAAGAATCTCTTGGTAGCTTAAGACTTGGTCACAAACACAGGAGAACAGGGAAGATCCATGGATTTCTGATGGCTCTAGAGTCAGGCAAGAGCCTTCCTTTGCCCAGCATAGGTATCATAGCCTTCTGGGCCAGGAGGAGAGGGTCACTTTGCTCTTTTCAGATCCTCGATAGCTCCTTAAGAAATGGTGGTCATAAAGTCAGTGTCAATAAGAACACTATTAAGGTTTGGCATTTTTCTTCCTGAAGTAAGCATCAGATGCTTTTGTTGGGACGTATGCCTGGAGGGTTCTCTGCAGAGCACACAGTGTCCTCCTGGCAGTGGCTGGGAGGGCTAGGGTTAGGAGCACAGGACAGCCTAATGTTGCTACCCACACAGCCATCAGCAGGAGTGGGACCAGGTTGGGTCCTTGGTGGTAAAGTTCTGTCATGGTTACCACTGAGAAACCCAAATAGAAAGCTTTTGTTGTTTGACACTTGAAATTAATTTTTTATCCCCAAGTCCAGATCTAAGTGATATCTTTATTTTAGGGATAGCATCCCTAGGAAGGTGCTTAAGCATTCATGTCAGGAAGAGAATGGTTTATTTCTAGGAGACATTAAGGCCACTTTAGGTACCAGAAGCTTGTGGGCAGGTGTAGGTGGCTCGCTTTTCTGCATAGACTGCTGGGTTTCCTTCCACGACAATTCCAGGTATTGGGTGCCTTCAGGCTTGTGTCCTACTATTGGAAGGGCATCCTGATTAAAGTAATTCACACTAAACAGAGAGGGACTGATGGGCTTAGCCTGTGGATATTTGCTTTTTTTTTTTAGGAAGGCAAGCTTATAAATCTAACATATATCTCATCCTCTGATGGAGGGCATAGAGGCTTCATGGATTGAGAGTTTGGAGAGTGAAGACGTGAAGACTATGGGCTGTCCCAGCTAGGGTGCTTTTGGCTGCCATAATTAGTGTATCCATAGAGAAATGAGGCAGATGGGTTACCCATATCTTCTCACCTGTCCCAGTTGTTCCAAGGTTGACTAACCTGGCACCTCATTGTGGGAAGGACCAAGGTTCTTCCCAACTTTAGCTGGCCATTAGCTTCCTCAGCTACCTGGCTTCTCCTAACAGTGTTCGTCATGGGCACCAAACAGCGGCACAGCTCTGGTGTCATCCAGATGCCAAAGAAGATTTGCTCTCACCCTTATACTCTTTTTTTTTTTTTAAGAGTCACTTGTTGTTGCTTGAAGTAATATCACCATGTGTGTTCTGACATGAATTGTCCTGGCAAGAGGAACAGATCTTCTTGAATGTCTGGCATGGGTATGGCTGGGTGTATCACTTGGCTATGCATAAGAAATTACTCCCGAACCCAGTGGCTTAAAACAATAAACATTTTTCTTTTTTTTTAATTTTAATTAGAAAGAAGATTATTTTACATGTTAATCCCAGGTTCCTCTCCCTCCCCTCCTCCCCTACCCCCCAACTAATACCCTATTAATTAGAAACAAGATTATTTTACATGTTAATCCCAGGTCCCTCCCCCCCCCCCCCCCCCCTCCCCCCCAACTAATCCCCTCCCTATCCTATATCCTATCTGCTCCCCAGGGAGGGTGAGGCCTGATAGACAGGAGGATGTGTTAGTATCATCTTAGCCAGAGAGGTGGGTGGCAGAGGTGGCTCCTAGTTTGGTCCCTAGGAACGTGTGCCACCCTAGGAGTCAGTTTTTTTTTTTGTTGTTGTTGTTTTTTACCAAATCAGGCCATACCCTTGGGGATGGGGACTATCTCTGGGACAGAGTGTAGTGAGATGCCAGAGAAAAGGGAAGTCACAGCACCTGACAAGTCTGATGACACCGGTGACTTTGGGTAGAAGAGAGAGGCTCAGCCAGGGACACTTTTCAGCTTTGTCATTATCACCTGATACTGTCCCCTGAGCAGTTGGGGTAACTCCACTTCTAGATGCACAGCTAGGGATGCTTATTGATTTGTGTGACTGCTCAGAGCCAGACTAATTGGGGCCCGAGATGGGAACAGTGATTCAGCAGGAAGGACTGAGGGGACAGTCACCATCTTTCCACCTGCTGGCCAGTGCTGCAGTTCTTTCCTACGCAAGGGGAATTCAGCAGCCCATAAATACTGCCATGGCCACTGCTGGAGCTCGGTGGGCTCTGAGCTGGCACTGAGTCCTTCATCTCCAGTTCCCACAGCACCACCCTATGTCATTGTTCCCCCCATCTTCTATAGAGCTCCTGAAGCTGATGAAGAGCAGTCCTTCTCTGTCACCCCCTAGGGATCTAAGTCATGGCTAATGCTGGGCCATGCATGTGCCATTGTCCCCAAGTGGTCTGATGCACTGAGGCAGAGCTTTCCGGCTTGAGTGCCAATGTCTGATCTATTGCTTGGTGTTACTTGGCCTTTTACAAGGGTCTTTTGAAGAAATGACTAGTGACAGTTCTGTTCTTAACTTTTTAAGTAGCCTTTTCCCAGTTTCTGTCATCTTGTTGCTTTTCTAAATGTGCTGATTGAACAGTGGGTGGCTAGGTAATTCCTGGATTGGTACAGAATCCAACAGCCGATTTTAGTTAAAAGAAAAAGATACATAAATATACAGGGATGTAAGCCATTCCATGGGCAACTGTGTTCACTCTGTACTTTTGTGTTGTAAAAGCATGAGCTTTAATAACTTTACCTGAAAAAAGATAAACGCATCCAGTGGCAGTTGTTTACTTAACCCTGAGCTG